ACGTGTTTTATGAGCTCGGCGATTTTCGTTGGTTAAAAGAAATGGATCAAAGAGAATTTGTATCCAATTTTGCTTAAAAAATAAAATAAATTCTGTGAAATGTTAACAAAGGCCTATAGTGAGTCTGCTATAAATAAAACAAGAGTTTACAAGTGGTATAAGATTTCCAAGATGGCCGTGAAGACGTTGAAGATAAAGAACGCCCCCCCCACATTAACAACCGATAAAAACATGGAAAAAGTGGAAGAAATGGTTATAAACCATCAGAAAAGTCGCTGATGATGTTGATATATCGAATGGATCATCCCATGAAATTTTTTTAAATGTTTTGGGTGGCAGCAAAATTTGTTCCAAAATTGTTAAATTTTGAACAAAATTTTTGGCCAAAAACAATACTGTAATGATGCCCCAGCCTCCATATTCGCCAGACATGCCTCTGTCTGACTTTTTCCTATTACCAAAAATAAAGAGAACCTTAAAGGGCCGTCGTTTTGCAAGCATAGATGACATTAAAAGCGCATCACTGAAAGAACTAAAGGATATCTCAAAGATCGAGTTTTAGAAATGTTTCGAGTATTGGAAGAAGAGCTGCCACATGTGCATAATATCCAATGGGGACTATTTTGAAGGCGACAGCATTAATGTAGACGAATAAATAAATATTTGTTTCAAAAAACGAAAATTCCCGATATTTCTAAAAACACCTAGATACAACAGAGTTGCCAATAGATGTAAAAAATGGTAAAAAGGATGTTTTTTACCCAAATATATATCTAAAATAGTATATTAAAGAAATAATGTCATAAGACGTCATTTTGTCGCACGCGGACAATTTATAAAACGAGGAGTTAACAGATTACAGTTGGTTCTACACTTATCATAAAGTTATATGGATTTGGATTAACATAAAATCTGGTTAAAATTTTTATACTGTGTAGCAAACTTGTATGATCACATCTTACTCTATATCATATAGACTATATGGGTTCCAATAAGCTAGTACTAAACGAAAATAAAACAAATTTTGTCCCCTTCAAGACAATGAGATCAAATGTCTATACACCATCACATATGTATTGAATAATAAAGAAATTGAGTATTCGTCAAGTGTCAAATTGCTTGGTATTTGGATTGACGAATATTTAAATTGGGATATGCATATCAAAAACTTAGTGTCAAGATTAAATGGAGTATGTTATGCAATGCGAATACTTAAAAATTATGTCAATGTGGATACTATGAAAACGGTATATTTTGCGAACTTCCAAAGTCTCTTAAGATATGGTTTGATATTCTGGGGCCAAGGACGTAACACTTTATCTGTTTTCAGAGTTCAAAAAAGATTGATACGCACCATATGCAACTTAAAATCATCAGAATCTTGCAGAACACACTTCAAAAGCAACTATGTCTTGACACTGATTGGTTTTTATATATATGAATTAGTTTTGTTTTTTGTAAAAAATTATAACAAATTTGAATCACTTCAAATTGTTTCACATAAAAACTCAAACTTAAATTTTCCTACGCATAAATTAACAAAGTATGAAAAAAGCTGCCATTATGCAGCCATTAAATATTATAACAAAATACCTCATCATATAAAATCTTCAAAAACCTTAAAAAATCTTCAAAAATTAACTTTTCAACTATATTTGTACCAAAGAGCTCTATACGTTTTCAAGTATGTTGTATTATTGTTCTTACACTTGTGGTATATTCCATTTTATTATTTATGTTTGACTTTTTCTACATACTGTTGTTATACATATATATTGTTATCTTTGTATGTACAGCACTATATTAGAATAAATAAATTATTAAAAACTAAAATGTAGAACACACATCATTACGGTTCCCATATTAGGCATCACGAACAAAATTTTCTCAAGAGCGCTAAAGATCGCATGGGGAGCATCGGCCCCCATCGCCCCCTCACTTATCCCAGATGCACACTGCTTGCCTGCTACTGTATTAGTATTTTTTGCGTGCACTGTTCACGCTCTGTTTAGTACCGCTCGCTAAAGAATTCATGGGACGAAATTTATCGACTTTGTTGGTAGTTTGTTATCTCATGTATAGTGTGCACAATAGTGATAAAAAGTGTGAGAACCTCTTGCGGCTGCACTCTGTTTAATACAATAAGATTAATATTGCGGTATACCAAGCCTGTTACAACTTAATTAGAAAAAGGTAAACAAGGTAAATTTATTGCTGTGCCAGTAATTTACAGAACCGCTAAAGTTATTTTTATGTAGGCACAATCTGACAGCTACAGCTTAGTTTCTGCATAAGTTAGTTTATTGTTATATTATATAATATAACTATTAAATATATTATAATAAATGTTTGCGGCGGTAAATGTGCTTTTAAGCTTAAAAGCCTTGTTTGAATAATTAAATTTATAGCTTCAGTAGTAAATTTTAAAACTATGGAAGTGTATTTTAGTAGGAATTTTAATAGTTATTTACGTGTCAAGCTTTGTAAATGATTCTTTACAGGCGAGCTGGAAGTTTCCAGTGGCCTAGTAAAGATTAATTGCAATAATTATTTTAGTATATTTTAAAAACACACATGGTTAGAAAAGAACAACAAAAACATTGCTTAATTGGACCAATACAAACCAAGAAAAATAAAAATTCCCCTTACTTTTTTTACACACCTTGTATATTTTCTTAAAATTTTTATTATTACCGTTGAGTGAAAAGTAGGGTAACATTAATTAAGATGTTATATATAACGTTATCATTAGCTCTGCTCGCGTGATTAAAAAAAAATAACGGACCAATTACATAGTTATAGTTGTATGTTACTTTCCGGCCTATAAACTTTCTTAGGACAATTTAATTAAAATTATATCAGGTTTTATGGAATAATTCAACAAACCAATATTGTTCGAGTTTGGGCAGTTTGCAATTACCTACCCGAAACATTATTTTTAACGTGCAGTTTTCAATTTCCAGGTTATAAATAAATTAAATGGAAGGGCATTTCTTAATTATCCAATTTTGTTTGAATGTGGGCAGTTTTCAATTACCCAAAACATTAATTTTAAGGTGCAGTTTTCAATTACCCCTTTTAAATAAATTAAAGTTTTTGATTATCCAATTTTTTTCGGACAGTTTTCAATAAAGAAACCGAAACATTAATTTTAATGTGCAGTTTTCAATTACCCGGTTTTAAATAAATTAAATTTAATCTAAAGAAAGTTTTCAATTATGCAATAATGTTCGAATTTGGTCAGTTTTCAAATGCATGGAACATTGTAAGGCTTTTTTAGACTTTCAAGCTTTCTTAAAGCTTTTAAGCTTTTTCAACTTTTTTGAGCTTCTATGTTTTTTTTATTTTTTTAACGTTTTAGTTTTTTTGAAAAATTCCAATATTTTTAAAGTTAAGTTAAAAATTTTGTAAATTTTGGAAATTAAAAATTTTGTAAAATTTTGAAGATTTAAAAAAAATTGTATATTTTGGCAAGTTTAAACATTTTGGAAAATTCCGTTGCTGCCTAAAAAAATACACTTGCAAATATACAAGGTGCACCGAGTTTCTTTCTATGTGTATATTTCTATGGGTATTTTTGAAGAGCTACAAGGTTATTTTAGAGAACTACAAGGTTATTTTAGAGAACTACAAGGTTAACTTAGAGAAAAGCCTATTAACATATGAAATTATAAATTGGAAAAAAGCAGTCAGCTTTACATGTAAACATAGGTAGGTACACATTAGTTTACATTTTCACCAAATTTTTTCTCTAGGTATATTTTGAGTTACCATCAACATCTTTTGTTTTTCTAATGGCCGCAATAACTTATGTGGTTTAAGAAATCGTTGGATTCCTGGATTTTTTTTCTATGTACTATGTAAAAATGTAGATAAATTTGTATGTTTACATTTAAAATTTACTTTTTTTTTAATTCCCAGGAATAATGAAGTTATAACGATTTTTGGTTTTGTCAGGTTTTCAGTTTTTCCAATATTTAAATTCAATTTTAATAGAATTCTAAATAAGCAACTTTTCTCTAAATTAAACGAGCGTGTAGATCTACAAATTAAAAATATACCCCTACTAAGTAGGGCCTACTTAGGTGGTGCACTATGTATACATATTTTGCAACATGTATAATTAAATTTTTTTAGTAAATTTATTAATAGAATAAACAAACCTAAATTACTTTTAACATGTTAAACAAATTTGTAAAAGCTTTGTAAAATGTTAATTATTAACGTCCTGCAAACAAGAACAATTTAATTAAATTTTTAAAAAGTATTTGGAGCAACATGCATTCAATTAAAATTCTTTTTTTTACAAAGTTGTCTAAATGCTCTTTACACTGGCACTAATTAAACGTTAACAAACTAATTTCAACATTATAAATTGGGATTTAACCAAAATAAGCAAAAAACTATTATTTTTAGTGGAAATCCACTGTTTAACTTTATCCCAACGTTTATTTTACAGGTTTAACTTGTGGATATTTCTGGTAAAATTTTTTATTGCCACACTGTAACTAGAACCCACAGTGCCATAACATTGAATTAAATAAATTGTTTGCCTTATAGTTAACATGGGAGCAATAAATGAATTTGAAGTCGATTTTCGGAAAAAATAATGACACTGGCAAACATTACCCACAGCACCCCATGGTCAGAAAAATGCATAAAACGGCGATAAAAAATGTATTTTTGGCGATAAATTAAAAAGTAAAAGCTTTGATCATGTCAATAGAAACGATTACTTTTGCGAAATGAAAAATGAAGCAAAAATGATTTTTAGGTGTCGCATGTTTCGGGGGTTGTAAATCAAGCAAAAACCTTTATCAGGAATAAAGTTTTCCGAAAAAAGTAAAATATTTTCTCTCTCTTTGTAACCCCGTGGACATACCGTATACATTCGTGTGTATATGGATTAATCTTTTAGCTGATAAGACTAGCACATGAATATCCCAGCACCACTTTCACCGCCACAGACAGAGGGAATAGCAGAACTGATAATTGCCTACCTTTGATTCGTGTTTCACATTATACAGTCCCTTTTGACACCACATGTTCAAACAGTTCATAAAAGGACAACATGTTATAACCATGTTATTTTAACATCGTCCTCGTCGTTGGACACATTTATTTGTCGCACTCGGCTACTACACGCGACGCACGTCTATCAGTCAAATATTTTTGCATGCATATATATGTATATATATTATTAATTGATAACGAGTCACAATTGAACCGTTCATACAGGTGGATATTGTCTGTTTTTAATAATTCGCAAGGCGCTGATAAGTATCTAATTTAGATAATAGTTGTTTACAAATGGTTCATTCATTAAAAATAGTTTTTAGAGGTTATATAGGTCGTCTCAGCAAATAGTTTGGTTGATATGAAAAGGTGCTTTGTGACGTCTGAAAAATATAAAAAAAATTAATAATTATGTAAATGCGTAAATAATAAAATGAATTTGGTAATTACCGAGCTAAATTAAATGGTATTATTTAATTATGTTTGATTATAAATGCAATATTTAAATTAAGTTAAACCATGCCTTTAAATTATTTTGTTTGGAAAAAATATTTGTTATAAGCAAAGATTAAATATACAGTAGTATAGAGTAGTAGTACAGAGTATATTTAATCTTTGTTATAAGTGAATAATGTTTATGTTAAAACACTTAAAGTCCAGTGGCGGCTGGTGGATTTTGCGTATACCAATATTTTTATTAGTAGAGATGGGACCCACACCAAATTTATAAAAGTTTATAATGACACTAAAATAAAAGTTCTGCGCAAGCAGAATTTAAATAAAAGTTTGCGAAAAAAATATAGTTTTGCTGCAGCTCCCCCGCAGCCTGGCCCCCCTAATAAAGATAATACAAATTGTAGTGGTACGATATTGTACATATAAATAAATATTTATAATTTACCATACTTTATACATTTATTTAAAAAATCCAAGTATTACAGATTTTATACCATTTTAAATTTGTTTTACTTTTCCTAAAATAAAAAAAATTAAAATAAAATCTGTAATACTTGGATTTTAAGAATAAATTTTGATATTTGTCAATAAACTATGTTAAATTACAATTGCACCAATGCATTGCAGCAAGCCTTAAAGGCCGTATTACAGCCGGCAATTCCTCTTGCAGCAATTTTTCTTGCCATCTAGTTTTCAAGGCCGTCTTGCATGTTGTTTTACAGCCGGCAATGGCAAGAAAACTTGCTGTTTATTACCGTGCTACCAACCGAAGAAAAAAATACGATTTTGTAAACACTTTGTTTATTTGTTATTTAGTAGAGATATTTAAAAATTAATGAGTAAAATGGATACTAGAACTTTGAACAAAATGTCAATCATAAAACAAAAAACCTTAAACTGTTTAAGTCAAACAGCGTCTCTTTAGGGAATTTGTAGTAGGGTTGGTAACATAAAAGTTACCAGGTTTCACCCCAGAATTGCCGAGAAACGGCAATAAAAATCCATCCGGACCGATTTTCGGCAATTGCAAGAGATTCGTCGAAATGTCTCAACCGCGCATGCCTATGGCAATTTTCATTGCAATTGCCGAAAGAATTGCCGGCTGTAATACGGCCTTTATATATTTTTTTGCAAACTTCCATATAAATTCTGCTTGCGCAGAACTTGTTAATTTAGTGTCTTTATAAACTCATATAAATTGTATCCTTTTATGTATATATTTTTTAATTGAAGACCTACAATTTCAGTTAAATTAATTAAAAAATTGGGTAATTACAAGCGTAATAAAATAAAATTTATTCTCAAAATATTTCAATAAAACTAACCTTCGTTAATCCGAGGAATTTAAAAGTAAGTTTAACCTAAACGTCTAAATTTTAAGTTATCATTACCATCTTTTTTTTATAATCGCTGCCATAACTTATGTAGTTTAATACATCTAATCATGTAAAATTTAAATATGGCTGCCATGAGAAAAACAAAAGGTGATGGTGGTAATTCAAAATCTAGTTTTACCGGTTTTTTTAACTTATTTAAGAACCGCTAATTTTTTCCAACTTTTAAATTCCATTTTATTAGTCTAAGGTAAGGGTTAAATAAAAAAGATACCCAAGGATACAGAATACTTGCAGCACCTTGTATAGAAGGTCTAGTTGAAAACTGAAATTATTATATAACTTCGTACAAAATTAAGCTAAAATGTCATAACGTCAGTTGACCCTAATCTAAAAATGATGTGACAAAATATTAGAAAGATTTAAGCATTTAATTAAAAATTAAATGCTTGAAAAAAATGGTACATAAAACCCAGCGGCGAAAGCTTATTAATTTCCTCGAAAACGCAGGTCTACAATGTACTATTTTTTATACTTAATTTTTATAATAATGCTATCTTTTTAGTAAATATTACGATACGAAAATAATGGGGGATATTTTTTTACAAATTTGGCAACACAATGTGTCATTATTGACACCGTTATAGAATTTCCAATTAACAATACGGTAGGTTAGTTATAAATTAAATATTATATGCTTATTTAATAAGTTTAAGAATTATTCTGTGATTTATTATATGAGTTGACATTTGACTATCAACTGCAGAATAAATCCCTAAATCGCAATATAAATTATAAATCAAAATTTATTCTTAAAATTTTAACAAATAATAAAAAAAATTCTCGCACTAGTCCATTACGTTTTGTAACTCGCCCTTGTGCGAGAAAATGACGTCTTTAGTATACTATTATCTCTAAGACATAATTTAATTTATTAAACGATATATACAATTATATATAAAAATAATAATTTAATGTAGAAAGTGAGGTTAGATAGATCTGAGAGTAGTCAAATTTTTTGATAGACTAGGAAGTAAAAAACTAAAATACGTCTAAATTATTTTTACAGTCTAGGCGATAATCAATCACTTTAGCAGTGAGTGATGACAATTAAAAAGTTTAAATTATAAAACGCTTGAAGATAGGAGTAATTAAATCCTAAGCTTTTTAATTTTTTTATACATAAATTTGTTAAATATTAAAGCTTAGATGCCCCTGGGACGCCGCTGGAATAAATAAATTAAATCTTATTACAAAAGCTAAATATTATTTTTATGAGCAAACACAGGAAGTTTTTAATAAATGGAAATAAAGTTTTACAGATATTAGGAAACATCAGATATATTTTCAAAATTGTAACGTTTCGGAACAAAGTTTCTCTTAATTTTATTGGCAATATTAATAAGTCAATAATTATATTTATAAAATAGTATTTAATAGGAAATTTAAAAAAATGACGGATTTTTTTTTAATTCAATTATCTGAATAATTTTGTTTTTTGACCATATTTTTTAGAAACAACCGCTTTTTTCTTTTAAACATTTAGCCGTGAAAATACGCCCAGGCGTATCTCGTTTTGACAAATTTTCAGGAGAGCGATTTAAAGAAAAGTTACTATTTAAAGGTTTTTATAAACGATTTTTTTTAGTTTCTCAATTGAGATCGACAAGATACGTATGTTTTTTTGCTTAAAATTGTATTATTAAACTGTAGAATTTTGTTTTTAATTAGACCAAAACATAGATTTTTCTCGCAGATAGCAAGTGATTCTTGAAAATGCGATAAGCCAAAAATTCTTTAATAGTTTTTTTAAATGTAGATAAATGTTTACTTGACAAGAAAATAATATTAAATTAAGTGTCCAAATTTTCTTTAAATTTTTTTCTAAAATAGTTAAAAAATATTTTTTTCCTATATTTCCTTCACATTTTTTTCCTTTATATTTTTTTACAGTATAAACAACATTTACCAGCAGCTCCTTTTCTAATATAATTTTTTTTAATATAAAATGCCATTTCTATGGTTTATAGTTAATAATCTGTTTTTACTCTTAGTTAAGGCGTTTTCGTTATTTGTAATATCTGTATGCTTTTATTTGCTATAGCAATATAAAGAATATACAATCTTTTATAGTATTATTATTATTTTCGTCTAAATTTTTTATATACCTATTAATAATTTAATTTTTAACAGCAGTGAGCCGAGCAGTCTGGAAAACTCTTAACATTCCTACTAAAACATTTACTACCTTCCACCCTTCTTACTAGTACTCGTACCTAGGCTAAATATAAATAACTTTGACACATGTGCTGTAATAAGCGCATGGACTTTTATAAATGCCTGCACCTATATTTAGGGTTGCATGGAAATGTAAATACCTTCGACATATCATAAATTATGTAAGTATCATTTTTAACGCCTTTAGACGCAAGACAAACCCGAAATTTAACTGGGGATCCTACGCTTTAAATACTGGAACTAAACACCGTATATACGGATAATGAAAGTGAAAAATCTTAATGTGTGGTCTCAATGGATCGCGAGTAAGGTATTGGGTTACTTAATTATTATAATGGACCTGCACAATTAAAAAATAATAAATGGGTTTAAAGAGAATTGGGTTTATTGTGAATGTTTGTTATGTGTCGACGTTTTGTTTTATAAATAAAAATGTTTTTATTATTAAAAATCTTAATTTGTTTGCAAAATAATGCCAAAACAATGTCTTATGGCAATGTTTGTAATTTTTTTTACATTTTATTGTTAATAAATTTTAAAAATCAAACGCCAATATCATTTGAAAAAAAAAATTAATTCAAGTTTTTAAATAAAATTTAATGAATTAATTTAATAAATCAAGAACATGGGGTCAAAAATGCCTAGCAATGGGGCTACTGATGACACAGTATAAAACTAGTTGCACTGTATCCTTATTCTACGACAAGCACAGAAATTAAATAAAATCTGACATCTATCAGACTGTTCTAACCTCACTTCTTAGTCGCTTTATTTTGCCAATTGTATCAAACAGTTTTTGTATGAATTTCAAGTTGTCGAGTTCTAAGAAATACGAATAAATGAATAATTTTTGACGCACCCATTTTGAATTTTTTTTAAGCTGATTCATAATTCGTTGACGATTTAGTTTGCTATTTTAGGGGGAGTACCCATTATGCAATTTAAATCTGACATGTGGTAACTTTTACACCTACTTATTTTTTAAATGTGGCCCAGATCATTTAAAAATTGATTTTAGGTATTTAAAGTTTGAAAAAAAT